CCTCTCCTAGGCGCCATAACACAGGCGAAGGCACAGCCAGAGGGAACAAAAAGACCCAGTTCTCAGCACAAGCAACAATTTGATTGGGAAAACTTGCCGCTTCCCTGGGTTTAAGTGTTAGCAAATTATTCTACTAATAATTACAAAATGTTCCTAATTATTGTTAAAAAGCAAAATCACTTTATAAATCCCATGCTCCGCTGTTGTTTCCAGCCTTCTGTGGTGGATAAATAATGGAAATCAATAATTATCACCAGGACTGCTCAGCAGGAGGTGGGGATAATGGGGGGACTGGCACGGGGCTGCTCACTCCTTGACATTCCACTGGTAGGACATTTCCCCACCCACTACTCCTTTCCCAAATCCACCCCTCCACGCACAAGGAAGGAGGGAAGGACAAACGGAGAAAGAAGACAAAGAAACCAAAGGGATGAAGATCACCAAAATAAATTCCCCCTCACCCCGCAACACACAGAGCTTTGGCAAAGTCTTGGCAAAGCCTGGTACACAGCAGCTGAAAAAGGGCTGCGGGACCTGCAGATGGGGAAGGGGACTGGCTGCCTTGTGGAAAGCCGGGATGCCTGGGAGCAAGAATGCTCGAGGAGCTGCCTCTTCCTCGCAGGCATCACGCCCAGCTTTGTTCCTGTGGTTTGGGTTTAGTTTTTATACTGCCACCCCTGCTAGCTCAGCTGTTGCAAGCAAGCAGGTCAGTTCATTATCCCAAGCTGCAGCAGCTTGCAGGCTCCTGACCACACTACGACAGGAATTCGCCAGGAGGGAAAACACAAAAGCAAGAGAAGCTGGGAAGCAGCAGGACCACCCTCACCCCTTCTCCCTGGGTTTATAAATCTTTTACAAAGTAAAAAGATTCAGTACAAAGCTGATTTAGACCCAGACTTCTTCACTGGTTTCTCTGTGCAACTGAATTATCGCTTGGCGCTGGGAAGGTCAGAGAGAAAGAACGTGTGATTCCAGAGGACAAAAGTACAGTGCCCCATCCTCAAAGTCAAAAGGGATAAAAGCTGAGACACTCACAACTGCCACCGTTCTAGCAAGGGGTGACCATCATTAGGTTTCAGAGTGAAACACCAGCAGAGAAAGGGTTTAATAATCTTCCTTGAGAAGAACAAGCAAAATCCACCCAGCATGCTCGTCCAAGGTCCCAAACGATTTCCCTGGCCTCCCAGTGATCCCCACTCCGCTTTTCCTCCCCACCTCCTCGCCAGCACAATGATGCATTACACCTTGACCACGCAAGGAAGCCATAAAGCAAGGCTGAGGGATGGAGCAGAGCAAGATGAATGGATTTAATATCAACCCGAACGGAGCGTGGGCTATCGCGCCAAATGAATTATTCATTTTGAATTCAGTAACAGCCTCCATTTCGCATTGACCCACAGCTCTCATGGGCACGAGATACCAAAGAGGATGGGGTAGCCAGTCCACTGGGTTTTCAGGTATGGCACGCCATCACCCGCATGAGAGCAACACAACTCCACACCAGCCAGGAGGTCTGTGCCAAACTCAGACAGCCTGGGATGGAAATGAAAACCAGGGAAGACTGATAAAGAAAACCTCCCTCCTCCCCCACCTTAGTGACGTGGTGGTAATGACCCCTCATCACTTTGACCCTAACACACAACAATAATCTCTTCGGGACGCAAAATACCCCCAGATGAAGATTGCATTCTGCCTGTGCCTTTCGTGAGCAGCTAAGTGCCGATAAAAGCTGGTATTAATGAATCCCTCAGCGGCCCCGAGCTCTGCTGTCAGCACAAAACCACTCCAGTCTAATAGCCCCATGACAGGTACAGCCTCTATCCCTGGGGGTGGGACAGATGAGAGAGGATGGGGGGGGGGCTAAACAATCTAACCCTAATTTTTCCCCACCGCTGAGGAATTAAGTCCATTTTCTCAGCCTTAAAATACCAAGGGATTTCTCTCTTTTTTTTCTTCCTTGGTGACAATTCCTCTGGGTTTGTTAAGTGGCTCATCTCAAGCTGACGAAGGCTTTGAGCAGATGTCAGAAGCACGTGGCTCCTGGGAGCTGGGGTCCAATTCTGGCAGCATCCCTGTGAGATGAGCCCTACAGATGAAGGAGGCAGGGGAATACAACCCCTTTGAGAGCACCAAGACAAATAGAAACCCAACAAATTATTATTGCTAAACTTTGTGATGTGCCGCCTTGTGCCCATCAGAAGGGCAGCAGTGGGCTCAGGTCTTCCCTTGCAGTATCTCCAAGGTCTAAACGGTACAAGGAGGAGCTTGTTGACCAAAGGGTGCACATGAGCTACAGAGAAGACAGAGTCCAACCCAAAGTCAGATTTCTATTCAAATGAAGTTAATTTTAGTTCATTTTTTCCAGCAGTCCTAACGTAAGCCCTGGCTCAGGCTTTTAGGATTGGTTTTAATGAACTTTCAGGAGCAGCTGGCAGGTTTACTGGTTTTGGGTTCCTCGCTGGTGTTGAGCAGGAACTTCAAGCTCACAGGTCCCACCTGCAAACCCCAGCCTCTCATCCATCATCTTGAGATGGGAACTGGGAAATACTCTCATAGGACTGGAAGAGGGGAGTTATCAGAGCCCTGCTCCAGAGACAACATCATACCAGCACCCAACAGCGCCCACGGGATCATCAAAAAAGCATTGTCTTATCATCACACATGTGCTTGATGCCATTTAATCACCTGCTTTTGTCTGCATCCACAGCATACTTCGGTGCCTTTCAGGATCCCAAATTCTGTCAGTCAATCCATAAAAGACATTTCTACTGCCTTAGGCTTGACAGGATCCTGAGTTTTCCCTCAAGGAGCCCAAATGCAAAGCGTGCTCCCCATACAAAGGCAAAATGCTCACTAGGAGCTCTACAGAGCCCACACTAGGGCAGCACAAGGGGTTTCTCCTTCAGCATCAGAACTGCTGAGGAGTGAGAGCACAGTAGAGATGAGCATGGTGGCACAGAGAACTCAGCAAATTCCCAATGTACAAGGGTCTGCTCAGTGCAGCTTTGATGGCATGAACACACCATGACCATTCTGGGGTTTGCATGAGAAAAGGAAACAAAAAAAGCCATGGAGATGGGTCTAACACCCACCCTGAGCAGGTTTGCTCCCATGCCTCTTCATAGAGTCATACAATGGTTTGGGTTGGAAGGGATCTTAAAGCTTATCTAGTTCCAACCCCCTGCCATGGGCAAGGACACCTTCCACTAGACCAGATTGCTCCAAGCCCCTGAGTCCAACCTGGCCTTAACACTGCCAGGGATGGGGCAGCCACAGCTTCTCTGGGCACCCTGTGCCAGCGCCTCAGCACCCTCACAGGGAAGAGCTTCTGCCTAATGTCTAATCTGAATCTCCCCTCTGTCAGGTTAAAGCCATTCCCCCTTGTCCTGTCACCACAGGCCCTTGCCAAAAGCCCCTCTCCAGGTTTCTTGTAGTCACTTGTGTCCTGCTGTCCTCCATCCTCTGCCTTGTCCCATACAGCAAGCACTGGGTAGGTGCAACAAGCTCCTGCTAGGGGGGTTGGAAGCATTCACAACCCAAACTTTCTCCACCACCCCAGCCAGCAGCAGATAGAACGGTCAACATCACCAAAACCTGCGGCAGTTTTACATCATCGTTTTCCCCACATTTCTGGCAAAATGACATTATTTACCAATTCCAGTCTTTAGCTAAAATGAGTATTTATTTTTCAATGATGAGAAAATACCATTTTGCCATAAAACCATGTGCACTTTCTGTTTGTTTATTCAATAGTAGAGGAACGTCTTGCCAGAAACACTCCAGGTTGCAGAGCCCTCCTTCCATCAGAGCGCCTTATCTCCTCACGGGAATAGATGTGGTGGTAACAAAATCACGTTCAGTATCAACCACAAAACTCAAAGGAATCCACCAGCGATACTACGTGATGTGAAAGCAAGGACTCAGGTCCTTTCCCAGTTGTCAGAGCCCTGGCACAGGAAGGCATCGCCATCCCCACATTAGCCAGGCAGGAATGTGGTTTTTCATGGTGAAAACCTACACAAGTTCACAGGTTTACAGCAAACGAACAAACAAGTTTCTCCATAGCCTGAATATCAACTTTGGCCATTTTCATATATCCAGAGTTAGAGGTGGAGAAGAAACACCATGGTGGCCACCCTAAGCAGCACCACAGCCAAGCCTGCTACACATGCTGCCACCTGCACAAAAAGAGGTCCAAGTCAGACCTTTTCCTATTTCCCCCCCCCCCTCCAAAAACAAATCCTAAAGCACTTTGACACCTGCCTTCGACCACCTTCTTCCCAACCTGGTGGTGCCCACCTCCTAGGAAGCACTAATGAAATGAGGTTAGCTTCTCATGCAAAAACACCTCTCAACTTCCCTCCTTCCAAGCAGCATACAAAAAAAACCCCATCTTAATTATGAAGAAAAGGAAAGGGCAGCAAATAAAGCCAATCCTCCAACAGCAGTTGGGAAATATTCATCAGAACAGCGAAAGGAGATGAAAAGCAGCGAGCGCTGCTTTTATTGGCTTTTATTTTATATTTATAACCCTGTGCCGCGGAGGCCTCCAGCAGGCAGCAGTGGGCTGGGGAAACCCAAAAAACACAGCAAAAAAAACCCAATTAATGCTGAAAATCAGAGCAGCTTCTCTACAGCCAGGCCCCAACGGCAGCTCCCAGCTCCCGCAGCTCTGCTGGGGAAATAACAAGGCAGATGAAAGCGGCTCAGCCTGCGCAGCACTTTGAAGGTAACAGATCACAGAGGAGGCTTCCAGGGGGCTTGCGGCGGCAACTGCTCATGGAGTTTGGCCACAGACTAGAGCGCACTGAGAAGACACAGACTGACCGCTCCCACATCCCTGCCTGGTCCCCAGGGCAACACTGCTTCAGGGCAGGTAAATGGCGTGGAGCCCATTTCACAACAGACATTGCCCAAAACAGCTTATTTGGGGACAAACATTTTCTTAAGCAAAGCTCAAAAAACAATAGAAGAACCTTGTCAGCCTAAGCCAACCTTACCTTTGCAAGCCACGTTGTTCTCCGGCTCGTAACCAGCCTTGCACGTACAGCGGCCGATGGGGACCATCCACTCCCCATCCCCATTGCAGTACAGTTTGATGGGCACATCCACCTCCTCAGCATTGGGGATGCAAGTGCCACGGGCAGTCACTAGGGAGGTGCTCTCGGCTCCCGTCATCGTCTCTGGGAAGATGGCAAAGTTCTGCACCACGCTGGGGCACTTCTTGAAGAAGACCCTGACAGACAGCAGAGACATACAAGCCCCATAGTCCTGGAAAGCCAGGTAAAAGCCATTGCGGGTCAGGGGCCCAAAACTTCTCACTTCTGTGTTCACCTTCATCAACCTGCCACCAAAGTCCACCTGGGAGAAGCTCTCGTCAGCAGCAATGGTGTCCACTTTGAGGTAGGGTGCCTCTGTCCAGAAGGCAGACTTCTTGGTGGCAATGACAGAGTCTGTCTCGTAGTAGTAGAGGTTGAAGGTCTCTTTGCAGGAGCCAGGGACGTTGGGGAGGCTGCTGCAGTCCCGCACAGTGAAGCGCATCTCGGTGTAGATGCGGTGAGCTCCACGCCGGTTGATGAACGTGGTGAGGAGCCAGTTGTTCTGGTTGGGCTCGAAGACATTGCACACCTGGTACGTACGGATGGTGTTGAGGTTTTCGTCGTAGCCACTGACTTCTTCCCACTGCAGAAAGGAGAGAGGTGATAAGACAGAGGCAGAGGGACCAGTGGAGGCCCATGAGCCATGGAGGTGCTGCTCACTCTGCACACAGCAGGGCAGGGCTAGAAGGAGAATCCTAAAGCCTCAAAGGGGATTAGGAATGCAGTCATGGACAAGCAATGGGATGCATGGACAGAAACACCACCTGGGTCAGCATCAGAAGAAATCATCACCCTCCTGCCCCTGCATGCCTCCCCCCAGCACTCCCAGCTGATGCTAAAACATCTTTTCCATGTAACCATCTTAGCTGTCCTGAGAAGATGTAAAAATGGGAAGAAAAATGGTCCAGGTACATGGAGGTAAGAGGAAAAGCAGCACACGAAGCTACAGCTTCATTAAAGCCTAAGCCAGCACATGGGCTGGGGAGCGAGGCTGACCCCAGGCTCTCAGCACGATGGGATCATTTCCCCTGGGAAAAGAAACTAACTAAATAAAACATCACCGCTGTGGAGAGACAGAATATAGATTTGCAATTCGATTTATAGAAGGGCATTAATATAATCCAGGCTACAATTTCAATTAAGGGACAGCGGCAAACTGTGAATACTCTATGATGGCATTAGAGTCCTACAGACTGATTTACAACCTCATAATCCATTCATTTTAACTAATCCATGTTTACAGTCTCTTCATAACAGCGTTATTCGTATGGCAATCTTTAAGCAGCACTCTGAATATCATGCATAATTTCCAGGAGCGATGCTATAGCAGCACTCATGGGTGTTTGTGCTTACATGGGGATACAACAGCAGATGGGCGATGCCAACCTGCTCCGTCACGTTGAGTCTTCCCGAAGAGCTGGTGCACCACAACCAACCCTGTAACCCCGATTTTGCCCTCTTCCATTTAACAGCCACTTTCCTCACCTACTTCCCAAGCTTCCCCCTTGTAAAACACAGCCCTGATGTAAAAAAATCACAGGTTCTTATTTTGTTTTCAAAGCAGGGTCCTCCTCATGCTGCCAAGAATTGCAGCAGAATGCTTGCTCCTGGGTCCACCTACTCAGCTCCGCTAAGTTTAAGCAATGATCACAGCTCAGGGTTGTATGTTGTTGTTAAACAATGTTTACCAACCAGCAATAAACCCTCATGCATCCAGCTGAGTGCTCTCCCTTCTTATCCCGTACCACAAAAGCACTGCAAAAACCCCTTCTTCACCCTGGACAAAAAAAGTGAATTCAATGCCCTTTCATTACCAGACACCTTTTCCCATGAAAAAGGTCCTCCCCGACCGAAGGGATTGGCATTGTTCCCTGGTCCCAGTTCCCACCTGGGATCTGCATTACAGCCCTGTCATCCAATTAACACCAGATGACAGGCTCTCTTCCAGCACTCACCCACCAGCATTAACACCAGCCCCACTGCTCCATTGTCTTTCCTGTGGGAATCCTTCCCTTCATCCCACTCGCCAGCTCTTACACCCCAGCTGGGTGCATGGGAGGGGACATGACCTGTTATCCTTTATTCCCAGTGCCCATCTGGGAGCCAGCTCTCTCGCCAGCTCCTTCCACTGAGCATCCCCTGACTTTTGCTGCTTTCATTTGCAGGGGGTTGCAAACAGAGCCTCAAAACTCAGAGCCAAAACCTGCCAGCAGACCCCGCCTGCACTTCAAGCACCCAACACATGGGCTGGGAATAACACGTAATGCCACTAGGAAAGCCCTCCTGAGGGTTTGGGGCCAGATCCTGATGCTTCCTTGGGCGTCCCTTGAGTTCAGCAAGGGATGAATCCTGCAATCCTGCAACCAGGCACTGAAAAGCAGCAGGTCCCTGTGTCTGGAAAGACCCATGGTGCCAGCAGCTGCTGCCATCGATGCTCTAACAGCAACAAATGCATCATTTTGATGAGATCCCACTAAATAATTTACAGGGAGCTGAGGATTAAGACAATGTTATTCTCTGTCTCTACTGAGATTTAAAGCCCATTCAGCGGGGAGAGCAGAAGTAGAGCCCATGTCCCACTGCAGCCAGACCCCGGGGACCACAGCCTCTGCTGCCCAGCTGGGTTCTGTGCCCAAACATTATCGTCAGCATCCCCCCTGAGCCCCAGGGCACATCTGTGAGCCAGGGTGAACAGTCACTCTCAGAGCTCAGCACACCACAGGGGGATACCACCACCTAAAGGGACTCAAAGCCTGCAGAGAGCCCAAGCCGATGGCAACCCCAGGGTCAAGAGAGGTGGCTTATCAAATCCCTGCACCTCCAGCCCCATGAGAAATGAGGGGAACGTGGGAGAAAGAGTTAACACCCTAGCAGTAGCTAGGAGCCCCTCTCCCATCCTCCCATCTCCTCCCTCCTGCCCCAAGGTGCAGGAGGATCCCATTTATAGATAGTTGCTGCTCTTCTCCCTCTTGCTTCTTTGCTTCCCTCTCTAGTCCCTCTCTTCTTTGCTTGTTCCTGTGAAGCTATGGCTTGCAAAAGCAAGGCTGCTAGTGTAGTCTTGGTTTTTGGATGGAGGAAGGCAGGGCAGAGGGGAAGCTTTGTACTTCTCATACTGTCTTTCAGCAGTCTGGACTGCAAAAGAAATAGCACAGCCCTAGGGCAGCTGCTTTTGAGAACTGAAGGGTAAAACCAAGAAAAGATCAACTAAATCTGGGGTCTTAGTTGACTCTAACACAAGCATAAATTCACACGTGTATCTTGGCATCTCTAAGCCAGGTTGCTTGGATGGGTGGTGGTCTGCAAACCCTGGCACCCACACTCTGGACAAGCCTCACCCAAATACTGGCCATTACCACTGGAGAAGCCAAGAAGTGGCACAAATATGCCCCCAAATATTTGTTGTGAGCTATCAAATGGGACAAACCCTAACACTAAGAACTGTAACCAACCAGCTCATAAAGATCACTGCATGCCTGGAGTAAGAGGTGTGCAACCTCATCTCTTCTGAGGATCTGGCCAAGCCAGTTACACGCTAACAAAGATGCAGGCTGGCATCCTTTCCCCTTTGGTGCTGTGTATTCGAGGCCCTGGAGACCGACCCTGCTGCTGTCCCCATCCCTGCCTGATCAGCTGCCTGGGCTACCATGATGCCCATCCATCCATCAGCTCACATCCCCTCCTACCACCACTTCTCTTCCCCACTGGCTCAGTCTCTCACTTTCTCTGCCAGGGGAATGTGAGTCAGGTTATTTTATGCTTCCATTCCTCAAAGGCTCGTATTATATAAAAAAGATGTTTTAAGTGCCTCAGGGTGTTTTGTTCCTCATTACTTCATAAAAGTGACATTAATAGCCAGGGAAGAGCACTGCCGAGCGCAATTATGGAAGATGTTCCAGGTATGAAAGCTGTTTTGAGCCTGCTAATGTTTCCTAATTACAAGCCTTTTGGCACAGGGAGAGGGAAGGCGTGAGCAGAGGGATGGAGAGTGGGGATGGGGATGGACCTTTCACCTGGGAGGAAGACAGACGGCGGAGGAGAAAGCACGGAGATAGAGACTATCTTTGCTGAGCCCCCAAGACTGGCTCAGGAAAGGGATGCTTTGCCCCAGACCAGCCACACAGCTTGGCACATCCACGCTCTTGATGCCCCACACCAGCCCAGTGGGGCACCACTGTTCCCACTACAAGTTCTCCAGCTCCCCACCAGCATTTTAAGTTAAATAGCAAGAATCCCACAAGATCATGTAAGGATCAGCTGGACAAGTGACACTTACCCCTGAAGGAGGGTTGGCGGTCCAGCCCAGCTCGGCCGTCGCTGTCCGTGTATCCATCAAAGTTTCTGAGGAAACACAAGAAAAGGAAAGCAAACTAATCACTCCTGATGTTTTGGGTGATGTTATGAGCTCAGAGCCACAGAAAAACATTCAGCTAGGTGCACAGAAGCACACATCTGACCCTTGGAGCTGCTCAGAAATAAAGCAGCAGATGCCCTAATACATCTAATGAACAGCTTCACTCCAGAGCAAATGGTGCAGGACAAGACTCTTTGCAGAGGCACAGCCTGGACCAAGCCCACGCTTCCATCTCTGACCCTTCCAAGCCTGGAAAACAGTGCTACCAACTAAAACAATTCAAAAAAACTAAGAATAAGAAGGAGGCTGCATTTCATGGAGTCATCACATGTACATACAAAACACTGTCTAAGCCCATCCGGGAGTTTGTACTAACTCCCTGGAAGCAGCAAGAGAAAGGGGGAAACTCCCACCTACCACAGACAGAGCACACCCTCTCCCCCAGCACCTCCATACGGGCTTTTCGGTGGATCCCATCCAACTTGTTTGCAGCTACTTGCTTCGCGCCACAACACCAGACATCCCCTTTTATGCACTGCATCTGCCTGGTGCCCTGAGTCACCTTGGCACACAGTTGTTATTTGTCAGAGTGATTTTATATAAGCAAATAAAAATCACAGTTTTGGAGCTGTTTTCATCTGCTGGGGGTCCTTTTGATGGAGAATTCAGTGGGAAACGTTTAGGAGCTGCAATACAGCTGACATATCCCTAGTTTTAGTCTTTAAAAATAAAACCCAACAAAACACAAGAATAATAGCGAGAGCAACAACATATAGAAACAGATGGGAAAAATGCTCCAGGTTTTATTTATTTGTTTGCAGCAAGCAGACATGCAGATTCATTTCCTCAATTCCTGTGTCTCAACCAAGCAGGAGGAGGAGATGCTGGCACAGCCGAGCATCCCCTGTTGCTCCCCTTTCCCAGGTATTTATGGCAGTTTTACAGCGCCAGGAAAATGGGTGCAACCAGAGAAATAAAGGTCAGGAAATAAAAATCAGCCGAGGAACACGAACTGCCGCCGGACCGCTGCTTTTAATCTCTCCACGCCTGCTCCAGCAATCGCATGGGGGAAATGAGCCTCCTATTAATCTTCCCACCCCTCCCTTTGCTGGCTGCTCTGGGATGGGAAGCCAGAGAAGCGTGACCAGGAACTCCCCACCCTGCTACTACTGATAAATGCTCTCTCTAACAAAATCCCTGCTGGAGCTGCTGACCCAGCCTGGCTGGTAGAGGTAAGCATAGCTATGGAGGCAGGGAAAGCAAGACAACCACCCCAAAGAGGAAGTGAAAAGCTGCTTGGAAGCTTACAAGGCTTTTGCACCCCTAACCAGTCCCAGGATGCTGCTGTGGCACTGCCAGCAGAGCTTCGAAGCCCACAGCACCCATGCTTTAACCCCATGTCCATGTAGGGAACAGAAAAGCATACTGGTCTTCATGCTGTAACAGCATGTCACTCTACACAGTTCCAGTCCTTTTCTGTTTGGCAAAAGCCAGCTAAAACCATTCCAGCTCCAAATTGACAGGACCAGGGGCTCCAGACCTCCTGGAAGTTTCCGCTCACCACCAAGCCTTCCATCCTTTGCAAACAGTCCCACACCTCGTTAGGCAGTCATTTAATCCTTACTATGGCCCTTCAAATAAGCAGGCAGATGTGTCCATGCATAAAGGGAAGCAAAGACAGAAGCAAAAGGCCATGCAAACATCTCCCAGTCTCCCCTCCCGGTGGGGCTATGCAAGGAGGGATGCTCTGGGAGCCCCTAAAATGCTCACTGCTTTTCCCCACAGCAAACAGAATATTCTTGTGCGATGCAGGGGAAACTGAGGCAGCAGAGCCCAGGGTGATGCAGGGAGCGTGGCTGGGCTGGAACTCCGCTCATCCACGCCGTGGTGAGGACACACTCAGTTACAGGAAAGACACTTCTTGCAAGGGTTTATTCAGACAGTATTTTCACTCCATCATCTCCCTTCCTGTTCCACACACTTGCAGCTTCCTTCCCCAAGTCATTGGGCTGGGTTTGGGGATTTTTTTTTTTTGGGTGGGATGATGACAGAGGAATGTACTTCTGATAAAGTACAGCTGCTGTGTGGGACAGCAGCACGCGAGGACCAGCACTGCTCTGAGGTGACATCCACCAGGATCCCACCCAGCAGATCCCTTCCAAAATCTCACCCCTTCCCTCCAGTTCCTCCCTAAAGGCTCTTTTGGGAAGAAAGCAGGAAGGCACAGCAGCGATGCTGCCAAAGCAGGGGACTTCAAAATAACTAATTAAATAAATTAATTTAAACACAGAGAAGCTTTCATTTGGAGGTTGCTGGAGTCCCACGGGGACTGTGTGGCTGTAGCCAGGGAGGTCACACTCACAAAGTTTCCACACTGATGCATAACTCACACTTCAACAGCTCCGTGTTTCTAGAGCAATTGGCAAACCAAAGGAAAAAGAAGGCTGAGAGCCACCACTAAAAGCCTGACCCTCTGCAGACCATCTCTCGCTCAGGTCCTGCCCTGGTGCTGCCACATACAAGACAATCCATAAGCTGGTAAAATGGTTTGGTTGGTTTGTTGGGGTTTTTTACA